TTTCGTTAAAGAGAGTTATATCATTAACGTCTAAATCTGATAGACAATACTACTTATTTTACTGGAACAATAGTTACAATAATCCTATTCAGTCACTTTTGTTCCTATCTAGGTCAACACACTGAAGAGAATATTCCCTGAAGTCTTTTATTGATGCGCCACAACTAGGTTACAGGGCTGGGTTTGATGAGCTCTATTGAAGAGCTGATAGTTATTTCTCCTCTCCAGACCACCTAACTACCTTCCAATTAATTTTGAGAGCAACTTCAACTTTCCTATTCACTGTGAAATATAAATAGTATATTGCATCCCTTGGGCGTAAAGTGACTATTATTGACCCAAGCTGAAGTTTCACTCAAATTCATTTTTGAGGTAAGATTGAAAAACGTTTTTTGCCCGTGTGATGAACTATATTTTTCGTGATATTATAACATAATTTAACAAAGTAATTTAGAAAATGAAATCCTTTTCATAAAAAAAAACCTCTCAGGACGATTTCTAGCTTGTTTTCATTTTTTAAATATAAACAAGCTTTTTAGTAAATGATTCAATCGTCTATTACGATTGTGTTATTGTACATTATACTATCGATAAGCCTATGTCAAACTATTTACATAAATGCAAATATGCTACAACCATTAAACCAATTGATACATAATTTTGATACTTGCGATCGCTTTCAATTCAAGTTTACAACAGCTTAATTATACTACCTAAGGATCATTAAGGCTTTTTACTCTCTAGGTAGTATAAGAGCGATTATAGATCCGCGGCGCATACATAGACCTATAAGCAGTTTCCCCGCAGTATAATGAAATTAAATGTATTTATGAAAGTCTTTCTGTAATATTTTCTTTTTCTGTAACCTATCGAAGATTTATTGTCATTTGTCAATTTTTACGAATTAAATACAGTTCGAGAAAAGAAACTCCAATTTTTTTATTAAACACATGACTGAGAGGACTTTAACCCGTGGCTCAAAGACAAAGGTTCATCGGTCCAATCAATAGATCAATCATATTCCGAAATATGCAACCCTCTCGACTCCCAAAACAATACAACATTTCAAAAGCAAACCCGATACGATAATATTTTTTCTATTTGGAATCAAAAATCACCTATCCTACAAACAGACAATAGTATTCGAATTGAAAGACGTGTGGGTTTTCAATAAGTGACAAAAGAGGGACAATGGATTTAGGGGAGAAATGGTTACAATAAACACAAAGGAATATTTTTGCCGCATCCCTGTGTGAAGGGCTAGTAATCTGGGTTATTTCTCCGACCAACTTTATCTCTGTTATTTATGTTGATGCATTTATCTGATTTGCAAGCATGCTTTGCAACATTTTGTTTTATCTGGGTGAATTCTACAATATGACATGAGTTGTACTGTATTTCATGGTTGATTGATTGTTTGGTTGTGTTTGAGGAAATACAGGTACAGCGATGTATTTTGCATGGCTTTTCCGTTTTATGTATTTTTACACTGAAGAATTTCGTAAGTTTTTTGTCATAAATATACACACAAATGTTAACTCTTTTCTGGTTCATACTCTAATAATATTCAGCCATTGAAAATGTGCATTATGAAGCTTCCTGCATTAGTACATGTGTTAATAGTTTAAATGATATTGTTATAGCTTCTTTATCATTATTGATTTTATTATTCCGTATTACAGTAGGGAAAAGTATCACTTCTCTGCAGTTATTATTTATGACGAAGTTTTTTTTTTTAATTTTGGAACTATTCTATTGCATGGATGTTTCAACTCTGGATAAAAATATTTCACAGTGTTTGTAGGTTCAACATTTTTACCATCTTATCAACCAATTCAACTAGATTAAAATTATTACTAACCAGTTATGTAGTAGGTTATTTGATAATGTATCTTTAAAATACTTTGATATACACTAAAAAACAAACTTTCGGTGCAAAATCTCCAAAAAGGGCAGGACGTGTTCAAAATCTGTCACTAGCCTCTTCACATATTTTAAAACAAAACAGCTACAATCTTTTAAAATGTGTGTCTCAAGAAATGTTTGGACAAAGTGAAGAGGCCAGCATGCTATTTTTTTTAAGAGTTTAGCTAGCAATGTCAATACACGTGTCATTATTTTGAATAGAAAAAAGTTGTTTAAGGAAAATTTCTCAGTTTAAATTAAAATGCGGTACATCACTCCACTCTAGTGCAGTAATCAAATATGCACGTTTACCTCGACCAAAGGAAGATATGTAATATCAAGCAAGAGGTGCATCTAATTACTTTTATCACCATTCCAACTATTTAGTGTGTACTTCTTTCCATGGTATTTACAGTATAAGTAGATCCATGAATTAGGTACTGTATAAGGGGATATTTTTAGCTTTATTGCCTTCAAATAGTTTAAGTAAAATTGAAATCTTATCGTAAATCTGATTTCGGATTTTACACAAGTTTCATGTTGGTTATCATCAAATGCGTTGATGTGAAATTGTATTAACCTTTATAAAGTTTGTCAAACAATAAGAAACACATGGTTAACATTTAATACAAACCGGGTGAAGACATAAATAAAAATTGCCTTCAGCTAAGAGAGAATGTTTGATCAATGACTTCTGGTGCAAGTAAACTCTCATCACACTGTAAGATTTGAAGCCTATTTTAACTTGTTTCACGTTGTTTTTTAATGACATTTGGTATCCCTCCAAAGGAGCTCCAGCTAGCTCAGGGTGTTTAGAGGTTCCATGTTTGGAGCGAAATAAACAATTTCTTTAGAGCCCATCTATCAGTTGCTTTATAACACTTGTTTTGCTTTGATTAAAGTTGATAAATTACTTTTAATTTCATCTGTATGACTCAATTCCAAATTTAGAGACATACAATTCCAATTAAAAATAATTTTTAAAAAATATTCTAATTTCTAAGTCATTGGATAGTTAACAAAATTCAAAATAGTAATTTTAAATCAAGTTTTATTGCTCACACCCTTACGAACTATTTTAATAAACATTAATATTGAGTACAAATACAAAGTTAGCTACATCAACAATACAAAGATTTAACATAGGCCTACAACAAACACTAGTAAACAATTAATTGCCTTCTTCACATCAATATTCAACTAATTCTCAACTAATTTAAGAGAGGAGAAACCTTGTTGATATACAAGAGTAATTTTTACAAGGCAGTAGTTTACAAATAGGTTATTTTATTTGCGAAAATAGTGTAAATAGTTGGTTAAGAAATTAAATGGTAAAAAATAAGTTTCTTCAACTGGGCAAAAACTTTCTTTTTAATTGACTCCACGAGGACAATTAATTAAGGGAGTATTTTCAATTTACAGTTTCACCAACATAACTGAACTACTGAACGTCATAAATATAGCTCTACAATGGACTATTAGTTTGGCCTGAAGAAGACGTGATGGGTGCAGCTAATAGAAACGAAACGCCTAATAAAAAGACGTAATAGCTTGGTGGTAGATTTAGTTTAAACAGAACTGCAGAGGCGGGTCATCTTCTTGGGTGGTCCTACCTACCGCAGTCAGGCCGGGGTTCGAACATAGGCCCTGGGAGATAAGGGAAGGGCTTATCAGCATATCACATTACTGAAAGGTGGTCAATATACGTGGCGTCCTAGAAACGTGTATATTTTTCACTGGGAAATTACTTTAGTGCTTTACTTGATTGCTAAATCAAAGAATGATAAATTTACAGGATGCTACACACTCGCTTAACGTATCAATGTATAATAGATCGATTCTGTACATACCAAAATACTTTATTAATTTTTTACATTAGAGAAACATATTTTAAAAAGGTGTGCAATTTAAGTAACATGATATCATACTGATTACGAAAGAGTGTAAAAATGTTTTGATGGTGAAAATTTGAAATTTCAACATTAAAAACTAAAATTGAATTCCATGGATATAGTGTATTCAATAAAAATGTTACCTACTTTACGTTGTTTTTTCCATTACATAAATAGTTATATTGTATCATCAATAAATAAAGCCATATACTAGTTTGACCACAGCGTTTACTGGGAATATGGTGTAATAAAAAAAACATTTATTGACATTATTTTTTATTAATATATATTTTTTGTCCTAGGACGCTAGGCACGAGTCTGGGATTGTTTTTCACATTACTTCAGGCTAGACCTAGGGATTGCGGCATTATCACTTAGATAAAAATTCATTGGTGACTTGGCGGGATCGAACCCGGGACGTCAGGGACTGAAGTCCCGTGCTCTAACCACTACACCAGCTCGCTCCCCTTTATTAATATATTGAGTGCAAGATAGTTAAAACCGTCAAATAAAAGTAAAACATTATCTTACCTAATCACCTTTCGAGTTTTAATTTGAACGGCAATATTATTAAGCACTACAACTACTTTTTATATTTTGATTAAATGTAATTGTTACCATCTGTAGTGATTAAATAAGATGTTATTAAATAAATGGGTAACCCACAAGCAAGCAGAATGATAATAATGGTACACGAAGCACCTTAATTTCAATTTTTTGTAATTGATTAGAATGCGATTTCTGTAACTGCAGTAACAAAAATACAACAAGCCAAATAGGGATACCCAAACAAGAAGAATATATGGCTCACTGTTGGCGTGGTAATAGTCCAAAATTGATGCCTCATTATCATATTATACCCGCCAGTAGCCTGTGTTTACCCGCCAAAATTACAGAGCGCGCCCGTGTCGTGGACCACCCACCACGTCGCGTGTACCACCTCTTCACGGTTTAGCCAAAATTTTAAATTATCCATAAACTGAGAGACCAAATCCATTCAATTTTTAAAATTGCCTTTTAAATTCCTTTCTTGTCAAATTCTTAACCAGTTCCCACTGCGAATTTTATTCATTTTGTGTAATGTTTAAAAGAGCGTAAACATATTATTATTTCATCTTTTTTAAATTCTACTAAAACCAGCTGATTTGCAATCATTGTTTTTATTCCAGTGTTTATTTTTGTTCTGGTTCCCAATGTAAAACAAGTTCAAAATTTTGGTTAACTTTTCAATACAATTTTAGAGGTATAGAAGAATGTAATTTTTTTATTACGCAGGATGAAACGTAAACTATCATTATTCAAAGAACAAGATTACAACAAGATACAACACGATTGCTTGAAGAAGGGAGAGCTTTTTCAAGATGACTTGTTCGAGCTGGACGTCCCAGGCGCTACATGGCTTAGGCCCAAAGATATTGTCAAAGACCCTCAATTCTTTGTTGGTGGAGCTTCAAGATTTGACGTTGTGCAGGGAAAAAACGCGGGGTGTTGGTTGATTGTGGCTATGGCTAATCTCACGATGAACCCTGTCCTGTTTCATCACGTAGTGCCAAAAGAACAGAGCTTTACGGACAATTACGCTGGCATCTTCAGATTCAACATTTGGCAATGTGGACAATGGGAGGAGATCGTGGTTGATGACAGACTTCCGACAAAAGATGGCCCCGAGGGATCAAAACAATTGATATTTGTGCGGTCAAAACGAAAGAATGAGTTTTGGAGTCCTCTGCTGGAAAAAGCGTATGCAAAACTATACGGATCATACAACGAGCTGACCTCTGGTTGGTTTAACGAAGCTATGGTAGACTTTACTGGAGGAATTGTTGAACGAGTTACATTGAAACCGGCTTCGAACAACTTAAAGTCGATCATTATCAAGTCACTTGAGAAGAGTTCTTTCATGTGTGTTTTTATGTCTGACGATCCGTCGATAAAGGAAATGGTAACAAAGCAGGGTTTGGTAAAAGGACATGCGTACAGTATCAATAAAACTCAAACTGTGTCAATAAGTGGGGGTAAAAGTGAATGTCTTATCCGTCTAAGAAATCCTTGGGGAAAACTCGAATGGAAAGGAGCTTGGAGCGATTCCAGTGCTGCATGGCAGTTGATCTCGCAAGAAGAGAAAACGAAAATGGGCTTAGCAACTGAAAACGACGGTGAGTTTTGGATGAGCTTATTGGACTTTTCCCAAAACTTCGAATACATTGATATTTGCCACTTGGGTCCTGAAATGTTCTCAATCTCCAGCGGTAAAACATGGGAATCGCACTTCTTCAAAGGACAATGGACTAAAGGGATTTCTGCCGGTGGGTTTTCTTTGGAAAAGTTTCATTTGAACCCACAGTACAGAATTACTTTGAATGAAACAGATGATAATACAAAGTTGTGTACTGTAATAATTGGTTTGCTACAGAAACATAAAACGAGAAAAATTTGGCACAAGATTGGGTTCACTGCATTTCGTCTAGAAGAGCCTGAAAAATCTACTAAAACACCATTAAGTGTGGAATACATCGGAAACAATTTTGAAAATTCGTCTTCATCCAAATTTAGAAGACACAGAGAAAATGTGGTTCGCGATTCTTGGGAACCAGGTGTCTACTGCATTGTTCCTTCTACATTCAAAGCAGACGAAGAAGGGCAGTTCTTGTTGAGAGTGTATTCTGAGAAAAAGTCATCGATGGAAGAACACGAGCTGAACGAAGATGTGAAACAGCCTGTTCAAGTGAAGGAAATTGCCCAAACCAAACATGACAATGAAGAAGATTCTACAATAGAAGGGCCAAAAGCAATAAAGCTACTCCAGAAAAATGAGCAAGAAATAGCTGAGTATTTCATAAAGGTTGCAGGAATTAAAAGAGAAATCAACTGGGAAGGTCTGCAGTCTGTATTAGAATATGCATTGACCGGCTCAAAAATATCAAATACTGATGATGACCACGCAGGGTTTTTTACGAGCATTCTGTCATACACATATAGTTTATTTTCTACACCTTCAGAAAGCAAGATCTTCACAAAGCATGAGTGTCGCAGTATGATTTCACTGCTGGATGATGATGTTTCAGGTAAATTAAGCCTTAGAGAATTTAAGGTACTTTGGAGAAAATTACAGAATTGGGAATCAATCTATATAAAACACTGTGGTGATGAAAATAATCTTTTAGAGGGGCGTCTACTAAGAAAAGCTTTAAAGAGTACAGGGTATGATGTAAAAAATAACGATATTAGTCGACTCGTGTTGAAGTATTGTGACCAAAATGGTAATCTTGCATTTGACGATTTTGTTATGTGTGCTATTGAAGTTCTAAACAAGACAGTTTAGTAGCTAAATGTTAACCATACAGCTAGTTAACAATAATATAAATATCAGTGTCGATGTATTTTTTTTTGTTCAGTACTTTCATTATCTGTTTAAAACCCCCAATATGAATACAACCATATAGGCTAACTGTACAAATTAGTTCAGCCTTCTTTAGTATATTTGTCTTTTACGTCGTTTACTGTATTTTAGAAGGGACCGCGTCTCGTTGTCCCTCCGTCTACTTGTACCTCGAGGCCTAGGGACAACTAGTCGTAGGTACAACTAGACGTAGGTACAAGTAGACGGTGGCTCACCCGACTAGTTGTACCTGCAGATTTTTAGGAGGTACAACTAGACGTAGGTACAAGTAGACGTAGGTACAACTAGACGTGTATCCCACCGACAAGTAGTATCACCTAGCTTGTACGGATGCGACCAGTTGTCCCTACGACTAGTAGTCTCTACGACTAGTAGTCTCTACGACTAGTGGTCCCTCCGTCTAGTAGTCCCTACGTCTAGTTGTACCTACGCGTATTTTGCGTCCTTATAGTCTAGTTGTATCCATCCTTCAATTCGTTACCCTATTTAATTGATTACTGCCCGAGTACTTTTTAATAATACCCTTAATTAAATCAGGAACTGCAGTCGATTGAGTATGATTGGCAAATATTTTTCACCGCAATACGATGTTTTAGTAGTTTTACAGAGTTAATTGGAGGCTGAAAGCTACGCATTGCTGTCCAGGGTCGAAATGGCAGCTATAGTTGTGATTAAAATTTTCCAGCCCTAGTACCGAAAATCGCTTATTTAATTAAAACATTTATATATATATCATTAAATATACAAGCAGCATATCCCTAATGAATTGCAATAGACCGCTGCCCAGCAATTATGTATTACTATTTTTGCTGATTCCTTTAAATATTTTTTCACATAACCTTAAAGTATTTGCATTGATTAGTGTGCATATCTTATAGTTTACAATGGATTTCCCAGTGATCAATGAACAATGAAGTGTACAATGAAGTTGAGGTCCAGCGGTTGAAAACTCGACAAAAACTATGCAATGTACTACACATACTTCTCCTTTTAGCGAATTTCTCTATAGGGAAGTAGCTATTAACTTACACATAGACCGGCCGTCACTTGGATAACAGTACACACAGACCACGGGCGAAAACCTGTAAAACAGTGATCATTTACATTGTAATACGCTACAATCGTGTTTGTAAATAAATTATTCTTGTTTCTTTGTATTTTTTAAAACCTTTTGTAATGCCGCATATTTGCGACGCCTGGTCTACAGCGAAGACAATAGTGAAAATTATCACAGTTTTCTTAAAATAGACTAAACGTCGCATATATGCGACAGTTCATTTTTTGGTGTTTTAAGGTAAAAGTAAGTAAAAAATAAACAGATTATTCAAGAACAGTTTATAACTGAACAAATATAAAAGCTACATAGGATAATGCAGCATACATACTGCATACATACATACAGTGTTGCAGAAAAGTAAAGACCAGATTTTCCAACTATTATATGACGTCACCAATCATCATATCCACAGACCAAGCGACGCAGTTGTGCGTCAGACATCTCTGTAGACCACTGCATGGTATTCAGTGTCTTCAAATAGACCACTACAAAGATATAAGCATTTTAATAACATTAGAACCCCGACGCAAATATGCGTCGGCAGTCTATTTTAATGTGACTAGCCGTCGCATATATGCGACAGCAGTCTATGGGTGGAAACCGGCCGTCGCATATGTGCGTCGCTGGTCCATGTGAATGGAAAATTTCGTACTATTGCAGTAGCGAACGTGTTAATAAACCAAAATTGCACATACTCCGGACAGATTTCTTATAAAGAGATGCTATGACAATATGATCAAATCTCTATTTAATATCGTTTAGGTTGTGTATTGATTGAATAAATAAATATTTAAACAGTATATATACTAAAACATAAATACAGTACAAAACAAACATAAATGTAAAACATAAAACATAAATGTACAGTACATAAATAGCCTAATTGTTACAATAAATTAACAATGATCATTTGTTAAATTAATCAGTTCAATATTATTTATATAATACGACCATAAAGATAGGCGAATGTCTCTCGTGTTTATTAGGACAATAACACAATATACCTTATTGTTGATTCAGGAACACGCCATGAACAGCTATTTCTGAGAAAGGTGAACGAAATACCTGTTGTAAAATGCAGCTAAAGACATCTGCTACAACGTATTTGACTTATTGTTTAATATAAGCAAAACCATATAGATTCAGTACTTGGAAAGGCAAAGGAAATATTTTGTAAACAGCGTACAGAATGTCCCGTTAATCCCCACACGTTACTCAGAATGGACTTCATTTGCAAATTCTTAGAGTTTCCTTTCACAACAATCCATTCCAGTTATTGGGGTGTTGGGTCAGCCCTCTATCGCGTAGTTGCGAGAAAGTGATTGGCCTCCAATCAACCTAAATATTGTTTTGATTTTACGTAGAACTGTGGTAGTTGCTAAAAAAAAACTCTTTCACTCACAGTATTAAACATTTTCAAAAAAATGTTGATTATATCAAACTGTTATGAACAGTGTGATTTTTTTATTAATAACATAAGCTTTTAGTTGAGTATTTTAAACTCCTTGAATGACAAAAGTTTTAATGTAAAACAGATCTATAATCTGATGTACGCTGCCCAACAAAGACGTTATTTATTTATTAGTTTTGAAATAATTCCTGGTAATACACATAGCTTAAAAATTAGTCGATTTCAAGAAACAGGTACACTACATTATAGTGCAAACAAAACGTAAATAACACTTAGATTTTCAATCCATTACTGATTTTATACTGATTTTAAGTCTAAATCTACACAGGCAACGTAACTTATGAAATACTCTTAGTTTATGAAGGCTTGGTATAAAAAGTCTTGTAAAGTGCCATTCTTGTGTGTTCTCTGGTTAGGAAACTATTTAGTTGTTTATGATATAAGCGGTCTGATTCATACCTACAGTGTATTCAGGTTTTGGACTGGCTAGGCCTATATCATTGACTATGAATCCTTAAGGATTCATAATCAATGCCTATATACAAATATGCATGAGTGTTCGATGTCATCATGAGCGTTGGAATGTTTACCTAAAAAAAATGTCGTAGTAGAGGGTGATAGTGTAAATCATAGCTGTTCCCTGGTCCATCGGCCGGTGCCTCGAGGGATAATGACCGACGGACTAGGGATAGAACTGATGACTCGTCCGGTCATGTGAACATCGATATATTATCTAATACTATTTAATAGTAACTAGGTGAAACCCGTCGAAATCGATGGTTACTTTCAAGGATTACGTTAATTCACCTAACTGCGATAAATTGGATGAAATATAGGCTACATATTTTGAGCATTTAGCATTGTTTAAAGAATAATAAGTGTAAAAACAATATTGATATTAATTGCGTTAGTCGCCAAATTCGGTTGATCATTCAATGAATAAAATATTCCCCTTACCATACGTCATCGGAGTTATTATTAGTATGTTATCTGGTATCTCTTCCTTTGGAAGAACCTTTAAATAGTATTAAAATCGTATTGGTGGATCTTTTGTAGTTAAACACTTCCGTGATTTCATCAGTGTAATATGATTTTATTTGAAAAGAAAACTTTTTTTGGGAAGACATATTCAAAGGGAGGTATATCCGTTACAGTGTAAGTTTGATTTTTCCTTCGTCACGTCGCGTCAGTTCATATCTTACTTCTGTGCCAACGAATGCACCCTCTAGCTTACTTTTGAGAAATTTATTTTGAGGTTACTGTTGAAGCTGGAATTTCTTGACATGGGGGATGTCAGTTTCTTAAATAGGCGACATACGTAATTTTGATCACCACAGTCCATATTACAATAATCAGCAATAACATTGCGTACTCCTTTATGCATGCTCAAACCCCCTCAGCTCCTGGACTACAAGGCCTGGCCTTTGTGTTAGTGGAATTTGACAAGCGAAGTTTGCGTACACCACCAAGAACCACGGCTAGGTGTTGACTATTTGACTAAAGCAACCAATCAGTTCTCACTGATCAAATAAAACTTACTAACTATATTAAGTAGTAATAAAAATATACCGCTTTTAAATTACTATCTAGATAAATAAATGTATATGTAACTTGGTCTTATGTGATTGTTGGATGTAACAGCCGCTCATACACTAGACAGAATTGTCACGTATGGAAATGTATAAGCGGTCTTTCGGCCTTGACGGTTTTATTCATATTTACAGTTCTGATTATGTAAATACTTAGCGGCTACTATTACAATTAACGTTATTAGTAATCTACAATAGTACAGTTTCTAAATTAAAACTATTTCCATTAGTCAGTTTTTTTGGTCTTAACAAACTTATATATAGTTAAATATAGTTACTACCCAAGTTTGTGGAGGTATAATATCGCTTTAAACACGGAGCTATGTCTCTATTGTAATGATACCGGTATTGTTTGCGTATTCTTTCGATCCTTTGGTCCAGCATAATATAGCGACCAGAAATCATAACGTAGCCAAAATAAAGTGTCTCCTAAAACTAATAATGTTTAATGGTAGCTCAACGTTATTATCTGAAGCAACATTGATTGAAACCCAGATTTGTGTATGTTAAAAATAGTATTTATATGTTACTATAACTTTTACAGTTAAAGATATTTAACAAGGGATTGCGACGTTGTATTCCGCGTTGGATGGTTACTACATTTAGCCATGTAAAACAGGTTAGTTAAACCTTCAACCCTAACAGAACTGAGCGATAAATAATTAATTGTAATTAAGAAACTGTAAATATTGTACATTACTAATAACGTTGATGTAAATAGTGGCCGCTAAGAATGTAAATGGTAAGAACAGCATATAGGAATACAACTGAAAAGACCAAAAGGCTGCTTCATACATTTCCAGACTTGAATTTGGCTTAAGTAAAATTTGTCTAGTAATGTATGAGCAACTGTTACATCTACACTCTATCTATTCTATCTATATATTAATTACGTAACTAAGCCGATTCTTTGCGTCAAAATTGTGGTGAGAGACTGGGAAATCGTAGAACGATTGTGGCATCTGTTGTGGCTGCCTAGAAATAA